CTGTGTGGAGAGGCAAATGGCTCAAAATAGCCAATGCAGTTCTGAAGGAGAAAAATAATTGGAGGACTGACGTGAACCTAGTTTAAGATTTACTACAAAGCTGTAGTAATCAAAACAGTGTGGTACCTATGGTGAAGGAACAGACAAATTAGCCAAGGAGGGAAGAAAGAGCCAAGAACGGACCCACAACAATGCGTTCAACTGGTCATCAAAAAGGCAACACAGAGTCCTTTAACAAATGATGCTGGAATAATTGGACATCCATACGCCAAAAATATCTAGACACATACTTTAAACCTGCACATTTACTCAAAATGTATTACAAACCTAAATGTAATACAAAACATTAAAATGGCTAAAAGATAAGAAAAAAATATAAATTACCTTGGATTTAGATTTTATATGCAGCATCAAATACATAATCAACAAAAGAAATAATAAGCTGGCCTTCATTAAAATTAAAAACTTCTACTCTGTGAAAAAATCTGTCAAGAAAATGAGAAGATAAGCATAGGTTGGGGGGGATATTTTCAAAGGCATATGTGATAAAAGGCTATTGTTTCAAAATATACAAAAAATGCTTAAAACTCAAAAATAAGAAAATGAGGGCAGCACCTGTGGATCAAAGGAATAGGGCACCAGCCCCATATGCCAGAGGTGGCAGGTTCAAACCTAGCCGTGGCCAAAAAGTGCCCAAGAAAAAAATAATAAAAAGAAGAAGAAAATGAATAGCCTAATTTATAATCTGAGCAAAAGTTGGGAAGAACCTCCTAACCAAAGAAAATCAGCACATAAAATATGTTTGACACCATATTGCAAATTAAACCAGTGAGGTACTACTGCACATCTATTAAAATGGCCAGAGTGCAGAACACTGGCACGACCAAATTCTGAGCAGGGCAACAAGCAGCAAGAACTCTCACTCACAAACAGCACAGATGCTTAGCATACAGCACACTAATCTTTCTGCTTGCTATTCGTCTAAAGGACTTGAAAACTTTATGTCCACATAACAACTTGTGCATAGTTTTATTCCAAATTGCAAAACTTGGAAGCAACAAAAATGTCCTTCAAGAAGTGAATGGATAAGTAAACTGTTGTCTGCCCATGCAATGGAATATTATTTGGTGCTAGAAAGAAATCAGCCTTCAACCCATATAAAGTCATGGGGGATTCTGATTTCAAGTCATGGGAACAACTGAGAGCATATTACTAAGTTAAAGAAAGCAATCTGAAAAGCACATATTGTATGATGTCAACTATGTGACACTGTGGAAAAGGTACAACTATGGAGAAAGCAAAAATATTAGTGTCAACAGGGACTGGGGTCGGGAGCAATGGGAAAGACACAAAAAAAGCCAGAGCACAGGAATTTTAAGGCTGTGACACCGTTTTGTGTGATACTACAATGGTGAAAAGGGCCCGTATGCATTTGCCAAAACCTGCAGAACCCCCTACAGAACTACATTTTTTGCTCAATTTTGCTATAAATATGAAACTGTCCTAAAAATAATCTATTAAAAATGTCATGGGCCATTAAAAATCCTGCCATGAGAATAAGAAATAAGAGTGTCTATCCGTTTCTTGCCAGCTAAATTTGAAGGCACAGCCAGCAATTAAAACATGAATTTACATTCAGTTAAAGGATAAAGTAGCATTTAAAACCAGCTGCCATAACTTGCATTATTTATTTATAGGGCACTGTGTAATTGTGAAATCCTGCTGAATAAAGCCAACTGTATCCTCTTTATTGAAGAACTTATAGTCTAAAGATAGAACGGAAATTTTAAAGCAGCTTTACTTTCTTGGGATCATCAAATGGGCATTCTAACGGGATGAAGTACTTGCCAAAGACTCATTGCACCGAGAACACTTTCTACTCAGTATTCACAGTTCTTGTGCCGATTGACATGCTGGGAAGAACCGCGTTGATCACACTTTGGCATTAGTGCATATGTTTATTTATTTTAATTGGCAAATTGTGACAGACACAAATTTCATGAATCTAATACTAAAAGAATCCCTTTAAATTACACTCCAAATACTAAATCTTTTTGCTTGTTTTCTTAGTTGTTATTTCACTGTAGTATGAGGGTATAGCCCATTAGGTTCCATAGGTCACATCTGTTAGGTAAAGTCCCTGTTACAGCTGTGCCTGTTGGCTGAGAACTCACTAACCCCACCCTCTCCTCCCTCACTTCTCTCCCCGCCTCCAACTTGAGTTTAATTGTGTTTTTCTCTTGTGCAGATGTGTATTTGTTCATTTACTGGTTTCATATTAGTATTGAGTATCTGGGATACTTACTTCTGTGTGCTGGTCATGCTTTATGAAGTAGAATGTTATCCTATTCCATCCATAGAAGGTAGAGTCTCCATGTTTTTATGGCTAGTTTTCCGTGGTATACATAACTAAATCATTTTAATCTGGAAAACAGAATTCCAAGTCTCCATGAACTATTATCAGTCATTCAGTATTGTTCTCTTTAATATAAAAGTTTCCTTAATTAAAGTCAGAAACAGCACCATTCCATGGGAGAGGTCACTATTTCTCTTCTGGCATTTACACCTGTGTCATGGGCACCCATAACCAGCTGTTAATGTACTTTCCTTTTGCTGTTGAGTTTGTTTGGTTCTGTTTGGACCAGGTAAACAGTTTCCCATAAAGCTGAACACATAAATTAAACCTACTTTCCTCTTGAATATTATTTATTTTCCTGTGACTTTTCCATGAGAGAGGGCAGATTCATTTTGTGGAGCTGTGGAATGTTTCCATCACACTGATCCTTACAGACCACCATTCTCCCCACTTCTCATTCTAACAGTACAAGCTGCTTCAAAGCCCCCTAAAGAACCAGTGTTCTCTTCCTTCTATTTGTAGTGACCCGCTTTCCCCCGAAACCCTAGTCTCTGTGCTCCCTCCACCAGGAAACTCAACTTTGCTGTTCCTAAAGACTTAAATACTCCTTCTCCTTCAACCCAGGAGCTTAGTCAGAGACTATGGATACTTCAAATAATGCTCTGGTTCATGGAGAGTGACTGCAAATTATTATTTAAAAGCTGCCCCCTCTGAGTGAGTGAGCTTCTTGTCTTAGGAATTGTTATAATGTATATATCTCTGTTTCCATGGCCTAACACAATGCCTGGCCCATGGTAAGTGCTCAAGAAATATTGAATAAATTTAATTAAGTAATGCATTTTGCTCCACATTCTTGCCAAAGAGGGATATATCAAAATGTATTTGTTTTAAAAAATCAAAATTTAACCTAGAGAATGTAGCGTCCTAATCAAGCATCCCCGCTCCCCCAGCTACCTTTTAACTTAAAAAGACTATTTTGTTCCTGCAGTTTCTGCTGGCTCAGAAGTGAGCGCAACAGAAACGCATTAATGCAGGAAGGATTTTCCTGGACGTCAATAAACTGGAAAGGCTCCCTGCGGGGCACTTGGAGTGTCAATAAACACTCGTGATTACTTGCTCCTTGGAGCATTTTAGACCCAAGTCCATTTGCTCTGCTGTGAAGACTGAGCTCAAGATCTCAGAGGTTTTGAACTTGTGCAGCTCTGGAGGAAGAATGCTGAGCACTCACAAGCCTGGGTTGTACGCTGGGCAAGGAGCAGGCTCTCGGCATTATTTGCAGTGTCAGGGGACAAGGAATCCAGTCCTCCGCGCTCCCTGAAGGAGGGGTTGGTGGTGGAGGAGGACTCCCCTCCTTCCCTCCTTCTCTCCCTACCCCCTTCTTTCCCTGCTTCCCTCTTTCCCGGGCGTGGGAACGTGTGTGGAGACGCACTGGAGGCTGCTTTTTCTCAGAATCCCATTTCTCCGCAGTGAAGTTAAAGTGAGATCGGAGTTTCCTTGACTTCTGCGTGAGGATTTTCCAAATGACAAGGAAAGAGAGGCAGAGGAACATCCATAAAGTTGCTAAGTGACGCCTCTGGCGCCTCTGATTTCCTGCGGGATCCCGAGCGCGGGTGTCATCCTCCACCCACTCCGAGTGAGCAATTGGCTAATCAGTTCGTGTGTGTTCTGTACTTTCCAAAATGAACTGTGCACAGAGTAACAAGCGTCCTCTTCCTCCCCTCTCCCTCCCAGTCTCACTGTACTCGGGAGGGCTTGCATTTGCTCCTGCCTGTTGTACGTTTAACAACGGTGCCGGAAGAACCTACCGCTCTTGCACGCTTGCAGCCCATCTCTGCTCCTTTCAAAGCATATCTGGGGCGGGATGCGCCTCTGATCTGTCCCCAGCTGAGGTGCCCTTTCCCCGCCGATGCCGAAAGACTGCCCTGGCACTCCTAGGTCCAGAGAGCTAACGCCTTGGTGTCCCAGGAGAGACTGACTGTGCGTGCGTGTGTCTGGGTGTGCGTGCGTGTGTGCGCGCGTGTCTGTGTTCGTCTGTGTACGTGTGTCTCGTGTGCGTGCGTGTCTGAGGGTGTCTCTATGTGTGCGTCTCTCTTTGTGCGTGTCTGTGGGTGTGTGTGTCTCTATGTGCACGTGTCTCTGTGTGCGTCTGTGTGCGTGAGTCTGTGTACGTGTGCCTCGTGTGCGTGCCTGAGTGTGTCTCTATGTGTGCGTCTCTCTGTGTGCGTGCATGTCTGTGTGTGTTTCTATGTGCGCGTGTCTGTGTGTGTTTCTATGTGCGCGTGTCTGTGTGTGTTTCTATGTGCGCGTGTCTCTGTGTATCTATGTGCGCGTGTCTGGGCGTGCGTGTTTGTGTGCGCGCGTGTGTATGTGTGCGTGTCTCTGTGTACGTGTGTGCGCATGTCTCTGTGTGCGCGTGTGTGCGCGTGTCTGTGTGAGCGTGCGCCTCTCCGTGCGTGCCTGTGTGTGCGCGAGCTCGCGGGCGCGCCCCGCTGCCGGCTTGTCCCGGCGCTGTGCGGAGAGACCAGGACGTTACCTCAGAGCAGCCGCCGGCAGAGCAGGCAGCAGCAGCCTCCGCCCCCTCAGCCCTGCGATTGGCTAGTTTGGCTCATCATTTCCCTGCTACGGCGAGGGAAGGGCCAGTGACGCCCCCGAGCCCAGCTGCAGAAGCGCCGCTACCTCCAGCACGCAAGGTGTCTGGTCTGAAAAGAAACGCGAGCCCCTGGGAGGCGGCGCGCAGGGACCCGGGCAGGGCTGGCGCGAGCCGAGCCGGAGGGCGCAGGGCAGGGCTGCGGCCCGGCGGGAGCTCGGCCACAGAGGACCCGGCGACCTGCTCCTGCGATCCGGCTCTGCGCTTCCCTCGCCTTTTACAGATTTCCCCCCGCCCCCGCGACTACTGCCCCAAAACGGAGCCTTTACATCCAGAGAAGGAGCCGCCGGGGCTGGGGCAGCCAGGACTTTCCCGGGCACCCAAGATGCGCTCCATTAGGAAGAGGTGGACGATCTGCACAATAAGTCTGCTCCTGATATTTTATAAGACAAAAGAAATAGCGAGAACTGAGGAGCACCAGGAGACGCAACTCATCGGGTAAATGCAAAGCTTCATTTCAGGATGTGACTCAAAGTCAAGCCTTGAATGCGATGTGAATATGGACAGTGGAGTGATGGTTGGGAGGGCGTGCGTGTTGCCCAGAGTTTGCGTGTGCTTAGTGTCATGGATTAAATAACAAAGGGTGCCGTCTGCGCTGCCCTAAGCTGCCCCCCACGCCGGTGCAACTTGCTCTGCGCGGTGGTGGTGACAGCTGTGTTGGCGCCCTGCTCGCCAAAGGAGTCACTGCAGAAGTGTCATCAAAGAATGTGTGCCCTTGTCCTTTTAATCTGTGTCCAGAACTCAAGACAGATGTCTTTAGTCACCAAGCGGTTTCCTTCCTTCTTTCCCCGACCTATCACTCTAGAGAGATTCTAGGGAAGCTGGTTTCTTAATAGGCTGAAGTTAAAGCCCAGAAAGCAGAAAACAAATCTCTGTGTCTCTACTTTTCTTGTTGTTGTTGTCGACGTTAGGTACGTCTGTGTGTCTTGAATTAAATTAGAAACTCCAGCACCCCCAAGAATACTTCGTTATTTCTTCCTCCATGGGCAAAATGTACGGGCGTCACCGTTACAATTTTAGAAAGAAACCAGGCATTGTAGCTTTAAACAGACGATATTTCTTTTTCTTTAGTTGGTGTAGATGAGTTCAGCTCTCTCCCGCCCCATTAAATTCTCTAAATATCACACTTCCTTCCACCCTCTCCCTGGCCTCCACGGCTTTGAAGTTTGCCCAGGAGGGGGTGCAACTTTGCGCTGCGGATGTAGCTTGGACCCGTTTTCTGAGGATGTGAACCTGGTTGTCAACTCTGTTCAAAGTCCTGTTTCGGAAATCCTCCCTCGTCCGGAGGCGTATGCTCTTGGAAACTCCACACTGGCAGAGATATTCGCTTTTTTCTTTGTTGTTGTTGTTTGCCTTGTTTTAATTTTTCTCTGACATTTATTAAAACGAAGAGAGTCCTTGCCATTTGGGGTGCGTGTACGCGTGTAGGTGGGGGAGCATGCACTTTTTAAAAAAAATAATTCTGCTCTTTCCGAAGTGATGAGCATTTATGTGAGTCAGATATAGGTTTGTCCTTAAGAGGGGATCGCTATTCTGTAGAAAACCGGGATAACAGTAGTACAGTGGAAACGGACTGGAAGAGAATGAAAACCAGCAGATAAGGAGTGGCGGGCTGGTGGCTATGCACAGACAGAGGTGGACGTACGTGGTCTGCTCGGAAAGAAGTGGATGGGGTGGTGGTCACGGGAATGTGCGAATGAAAATCCGTCTCGCTTGTCAGAAAAGGACTTAGGGCGGGGGCACCCCTGGCCGCCCGGTGCTTGCCAGGCAGACAAAGGGGTCTTCGGGAAGGTGATGACGGTGGTGCGAGAGGCGGAGGCCGGGGAGTGAGGTCGAGGCTCTTTGTTTCCTCCTGAGCCAAGACAAAGCGGACCAGCCTCTCAGGCGCTGAGGGTTCAGGGCCTGGGCTCGTAGGAGAGCAGGAGTGGGCGGGGCAGCGAGGTGGGGGCGTCCTCTCCGACCCCCCCCCCCAGACCATCGCGGCAAGGAGGAGCGCGCCCGCGCCCCTCCGGGGGTGACAGGCCCGGGACGCTCCGCATGTCACCCGTGGCCCTTTTCGGGATGTCGCCGGGGAGCGGGCGCAGCCCTGGGCGCGGAGAAGCCGCACCGGCGCGGCGTTCGGGACCGCGGGGCTGCCTTTCGCCCGCACCCTTTTTAATCCCGGGGACGGTTTCTTCCCAGTTTATCTGAGATCTCGAGGCTGGCGCTGGAGTTATCCAAACAAGAAGAGAGGTGCGCGCGGGGTCTGCTCTCTCCTCCCAGACAGGCGACAACGAGGGTGGAAGAACCAGTGGGAAGACCCGGGAGCCTTTATTCCAAGAATTAGGCCCACTCGCTCCCCGCCCCCAGTCTCCCAGCCCCCCAATCATTTTCACTGTTGAGCCCGCGACTGGCTCCTCCTCCCGAATTAAAACCCGCAGCCTCGGTGGCGTGGGGCGAGCAGAGCGCTGCTGCGGCGCGGAGCTCACACCTGTCACCACCGCGTCCCGCACCGTCCGCTCCGCCTGGAGGCCGAGACCGCTGGCGGAGCCGGCGCTGCGGGACAGGGAGGGCGGCCGCCTCCCGGAGCTCCGTCCAGCGGAAAAGCTTGCGCTTCAAGTTCTCTGGCGGTTTCGCTTCAACTCCCAAACAGCGCTTCTGCTGGAGGAGTTGACTCATCAAACCATCTAATCAGCTCCCTGACTACTTCCTGCTCCAGCTACGTGCAGAGGCCATTTCTGAGATGAGTAAACTCAGAGGACGGTTGGCCCCAGAGCAAGAGGCCAACACCCAAAAGTGGGGTAACAGAGGCAGGCTCTGGCCTTCGAGGGGCACTGCGCGCCTTGAGGGCGGCAGCAGGTTCCACAAGAGCCTGGCGTCACCCTGGAATCTTAACCGGTCCACCTGGACGCGTGCTCAGCGCTCCTGCACCTTCCCTCCTCCCCCAGGCGGGCCGGAGGTTCCCTCATCTCTGCTACCCCGGCCGGGGCATTCCCACCTGGAGCAGGTGCCCGACCTTTGCGCCCTGCGATATTGAGCGGTCATCCTCTGTAGACAGAGAACTGACCACAACTTTCCCACAGTCCATCCACGTCCTGTCTCCAGAGGGGTAGCACCATCTGTACCTAAGGAAATATTCCAAAATAGGCCAAGTAGTAACTGCTCAACACCTAAAACTGGTATTTCCTGCCACAAAAACTTACTGACTCATGACTGACTTAATGAAGTTTAAATCAGAGCGTACGGAAGGTATGAAGTGACCTAGTCTTGACTTTTTTTTTTTCTTAATGGGACTTAGGATGGGCCTAGGATTTAAGGGGCTCTGTGAGTTCTTTGGGTATAACTGGAAATGTATGAAGATTCCCACAGATAAAGTACGTGGGTATGCTCATTTAATGAGATAATATATCTGAATGTGTAACACAAATTTTAACATCACACAGATATTTGTTTTGGATACTATTCCTTCAAACTTGGTACAGACTATTTTTCTGGTAGACCACAAGTGAGATTTCCTTACCCAAAGACCTGACTTACAATTTACCATGTAATTCAGGTTGTTTTACTAACTGACCAACAATATTAATTCTAAAATCTATGATAATATTGAAAGTGGAGTTAAGATATTATTACCATTCTTAGAAAAGTTTGCTCTAGGGTAGACCAGGCCCTGAAAATTAAAACATCCAGAATTGGCCCTTCCGTCCACATGGTACGTTTGCAATTCCATTAAACTCATAAACGATCAGTTAAGATAGAACATCTCAGCCTTAGTTTTAGTTGTTTGGTGCTCAGGTAAGGAAAACACGAACTCCGCTTCCCTTTGTGTTCAGGTTTAATTTGATGGAAGCTCTTTTTCTTTAAATGACTTCTGAAATGATATATTAGGGAAGAAGATTAACTTGGTCTAAAGGGATCAAATTCATTCCAAGATGAAAGCATGTAGAATTTCAGTGGGATTCACAGAAGGGCTTTGGAATATAATTTCATAAACTAAAATTAATTGTATTTGTTATGTACTGAGGATCTAATAGAATAAATTGTAATGAGATGGGAAACTCGTATTTCAAAGAGAAAAACATTTGTATATATCAAATAAGATAGCAAATGATTAATTCTTGCCACTGACGCTGCACAGATGACCATTTTTGTGGATTTTTCTTAAGTGCGTATAATCAGGAACACTTTGTAATTTATGGCTCTATGCTGAGTGATTTCTTTGGCGTACTCTGTTATTTTCCCTGTAAAAGTACACATTGAGTTTTCTTATAGATAACCCCTGTGCAATAAATATTGAGTGCAGCTGTTCAAAAACTATGCCTGATCTGGAAGGAGGACTAAGCAGGGGGTGGCAGCATCCTTCATGCCTGGCATTTATGGGAAGGAAAAGCCTCTTCTCAGACAGAATGCTACCAAGGTCAGAAGTGAAAAATCCCTTGAGACCCACTTGACTTTATACAAAGGAATTTACTCTGGAGCTTTATTTTGCTAAGCCTGGCCGTCTCTCACGTGGATTCTGTTGACTTTAAGAACTGTGACTAGACAGGGCTGCCTCCATTCCAAGCTCTTTCCAGCAACTAAACTCTTAAATTTGGCCTTTTACCAATTCAACAAGCAAAGCTGGAGAGTAACACAGAAGCATGTTATTCAAAAGAAACGCATTTAAACTTTTTTATGTGCTGTTTAAAAACATCTCAGAAGTTCTGGAAAGACCTTGTACAACTAAGTATCTCATAGCCTTTATTTTGCCATGTAAAATGTGTCTGTAGTCACTTTTCCGTGAAGAGGTCGTCCACAAGCTTCTTTCTTTCTTTCTTTCTTTTTTTTTTTGCAGTTTTTGGCCGGGGCCCACCAACCTCCAGCATATGGGACCGGCACCCTACCCTTTTCAGCCACAGGTGCCGCCTTATAAGTTTCTTAAAATGCAACATCATGTATATTTTACTTACCCTGTGGGAAAGTTTATTGGTGTGAAAATAATTATTATAATCATCCAGTCTGTGGTTAGAAAAAGATGATATTGATAGCCTGGTTATTAACAGGGTGAAGGGCGGAAGGACCCTCCCTGACGCCCCAAAATACTGCTAGTCTGTGACCAAGCTTATTAAGTCGTATCTCCAAAAGTGTGAAGGTTAACCTCTTATTTAGCCACATTTGATTCACATATAGTTAGTATTTTATTACCGTTAGATATATAAATGGTGGTTGACTTCTGGTTTGCTGACTAGTAAAGTGCACCCTCTTGTTTCCTTGAAGCCTAAATGACCTCTGTGAAGTGATTATTATTAGCCATGCATAGGCACGCCAACGGGTCACTGTCTTCAGTAGAATAGTTTAAAATATTAATATTTTATGTTCTCAATTTGACCCAGAGTAGTGGCATATGATGCTTAGAGCTGCTTCACATTTAAACTACGTGTTTAAAAAAGAACATGAACCAAAATACCAAACTATAAGCCTTCAGTTACGGAATTCACCCCACAGCTGCTACACAGGCAGTGTTTCCACTGATAGCAGGAGAGGATTGCCTGCATAATAAACACAGATTTAGACTTTGTTATAAGCAAATAATCATGTTACTGTTTAATTGTGTTTCTAAGATTCTAAATATTAAGACGTTGACATGTGAAGAAATAAATGTACAGATTGAGAGTGCCACGTCTTGGTTGGGATGCCAGAAGAAATGGCTTTTTGATTCTCTGACTGGGTTTACATCTGTGCAGCATGAAGGAAAGACTCTATAGAATAATGAATTAGTTCAGCTATAAACGTCCTACTGGCTTAAATGCTAGCAAAGTCATTTGTCACCATCATCACTGCCACTAGCACTCCTGCTACCACCAACCCACATGATGTACCAGCTCGACATGCCTTATTGGAGAGAGGTAGTTGATTCTTTTGATGTAATAGAGAATAGTAGTAATAATGGCTACTGAATGAGTTTTCTCCCTACTATAATCTCTTGTCTACACACCAACAACTGCTAGAGAAGCATCTCATGGTTGACATATTTTGAGAGCAATACAATTTTTAACATTAGCACTTTAATAATGTTGTATAAATTCTTTTGCATGCAGAGGCCCAATTAAACCTCACAAAGTCATCACATATTAGATGTTATTTGCAGTTTTCAAGATCAGGTAAAGCCACTGTGGCCTAGGAAGAGAATATTGCTCAAGAATGAAAGGCTGACAAGCCCCAGAAGCAGAAATGTGCCCAGATCGCTCCATATTCCAAGCCCTTTTGTCTTCAAAACCAAAGCTCTTTCCATTGCTCACGTACGCCTTGTGTCAAAATGCACTGACCAGTCTTAAGAATCACAACTGTATAGGTGCTGAGAATTGACGGGACACCTTGTCTCTGGTTTACACACTCAGTAAGAAGCAAGTGGGCAAGAAAGCTTTATTTTGTTTTTAATTAACGAGTAATAATTGTATATATTTATGGGGTACAAGGTAAGGTTCTAATACATTGTACAAAGGTCAAATTAGGCTAAGTAGCATATCCATCACCTCAGATATTTATCACTTCTTTAAAATCTTTTTGTTCAGGCAGTCCCTGTGGCTCAAAGGATTAGGGCACTGGCCCCATATGCCAGAGGTGGTAGGTTCAAACCCAGCCCAGGCCAAAAACTGCAAAAAAAATAAAATAAAATCTTTTCGTTCAACTATTTGAAATATCAATGCCTTATTATTAACTATAGGCACTGGACCCTGTATGAGAACACCGGTGCTTCTTCCTCCTAACTCCAGCTCTGCACCTGTTTGACTTCTCCACTTCTCTCCTGTCCACCCCTCCAGTCTCTATTTCTATGAGTTGTTTTGGAATCCATGGATAAGTAAGAACATACAGCATTTGTCTCTCTGCACCTGGCTTATCTCACGTAAAGTAACTTCCTCTGGGTTTATCGACATCCCATGTTTTAGGCTGAATACTGTTCCACTGTGTGTATCTCCCATGTTTCTTAATCCAGCCGTCCACTGATGGTACTTAGGTTGTTTCAGTTCAATGTCTTGACCGTTGTGAACAGTGCTGTGGAGTTTGGGGTGTACAGGTATCTTTGACATACTGATTTCAATTCCTATGGGTGTATACCCAGAAGTTGGACTGCTGAATTGCATGGTAATTCTGGTTTTTAGATTTTATGATATGTTTTAAAGCACCACTGAAGTCTTTTCTTTAGATGCAAAATAGTTGGATTTCAAAACGACTAAGTTAGATCCTAATCTGGTAGTCATGGTCAGCTGGTCCTTGTTGCTCCCTCCATCAAGCTTACGTACCTCCTCCTAACTTGTAGGAAGAAACTGCAACTATAATTTTTTGCCAGTAATCTAAATCAAAATACGTATTATGCTGCTTAGACAAAATGCTTTTTACTTTCACAAAGCTGGCATTTTTGTTTTGTTTCAGAGATGGTGAATTGTGTTTGAGTCGATCACTTGTCAATAGTTCTGATAAAATCATTCGGAAGGCTGGCTCCTCAATCTTCCAGCACAACGTGGGTTGGAAAATTAATTCCTCCTTGGTCTTGGAGATAAGGTGAGTTTTTAAAATATGGCATAATAAATTTCACATTATGTTCTTAAATGTGTTGGGCTTGACAAACTTATGTTGAACACTTGATTTATCGTGTAAGTCTGAATATGTTAATAAGAGTGAACCAGCTCTGTTTAACATTGTTCAATGAAGAAGGTGAAGCCGTAAAACTCAAGTCGTTTTGAAGTCAGAAATTTAAGGATGAATGTATGAATTTTGAATACATTGTTTTTATGTTATGGAATAAAATATTCAACAGGGCACTAATATCTAATATACTTTACTAAATTACTCAGGATTAATATATATTTTGAGAATTATTTTAATTTCTTCCCTTTTGAGTCTTAGTCTTCATTTTTGTCTTATATTTCCTCAATTAGATAAAAATAGAGTCTATTCAAATTCTATATTGCTGATAATTACAAATAAATTTTTCTTATTCTGTGAATGGGTATGTCCACATGAGCTCATGTAAAAAGAACAGGTTAAAACTGGAAAATATATTTTCAGGATTACCAGCTTATTCTTTATAAATGTAGCTGTTTTATCTGAAACAAACCTTGAAATCAAATGCACAGTCCACATAATCCATGCTATCATTTTCTTCTTTTATAATCCTGCTGAGAAGAAAGTTAAAGTCTTATCTTTGCAATTATGGAGAAAAAGACACATTTTTATTTTTCTCAATATTTATTTTCCATTGGAATTTTGATGTATTTGAATTAGATCATTTTCAGTAAATCAGAACTCTTTTAAAAAGTTTGAGAGAACACATCCTTTACATATGCAATCACTGTATTTTTCTTGTACTGGGAAAATGGGAACAATTTAATGACTGAATATTAGATGCAAGTTTTGTAGAAATAGCTTGCTGTTAAGACATAAAGGGCTGATTCATTTGTGTGGGTTTCTACACACTCACTTTTTGAATTAACCCTGCACATAATGTATATCATAAGCCGTGTGCGGGGAGAGTCTGTTGCGTTCATCTTTAGTGTAATGACAGATGCCTTGCAGCAAAGGGCTCACTGCATGCTGAAACTTACTTGAAAAAATTCCTGGGAATGTAAAAGAGACAAGTGTCCGGAACATGCAGGCCTGGCTGGACTACCTAGAATCAGACCATGACAATGTTAACTGCTGTAATTTGGGCCGCCCATACTTCTGGGGCTGGGCTCACTGTATTTGTGGGCCCAGCACAAGAACAGGGGATAAGGAGAGTCTGATGACAGAGTCCATCAACGGGTGTCTTTTGGGTAGAATATGACCAGTGGCAAGATGTGCCCCAACTAGACAGAAAGCCAATACTAAAAATCAGGAGATTCCTTACTAAAAAGTACAATTTTCATAAACTCTTGAGGAATTGAAAGAGTGACACATCTGGATCTTTTTTCCTCCTGAGTATTAGTTGGGTGAACCAGACAGAGCTATGATCTCTCCAGTTTGACATTTTTACACCTGGAGCCCCCTGTTTTGTGATACCCACGTTTCCTATCCCCAAGCTAACACTGAACCCAGAGGTGAGATAATCAGGAGGAAGGAACTACCAGATATATAATAATATGAACTCATAAACACCAATACAGGGTGGGTAAAACAGAGAAGGGGTTTATATGTCTCGTGTGCAGACTGGAGAGAGAGAAATGTGGTAAGTATTTGATTTATAAACAGAAAAAAGAGCTTTCAAATGGGGTGGCATAGCAAGAAGAGAGGCAAATACGTGAGGCTACACAGGCCGGATAAAGGGAAGTGATGGAAGTAAGATATTTTAGTAGCTTAATTGCTACATGTAGCCATGCTGAATAATAGGTCAGGAACAGACAAATCTAATAAGTAAATTGAGTAACTCACCCTCATTTAATTAAAGTATTTGGCTATGCCTTCATTATATCTATGCAAAATTGAATAGGATAGCTATCCAAGAGGCTACAGATAAAATTTTGGCATTAAGATTTTCAAACTATGAGTGATAGACATCGGAATTGACCCAAGAATTCATTATTGCTACTTTTCCAGTCAATAAAGGGCTGTATTCACATCTCTGAGGGCGGTCTATTTCCAGCTGTAACAGCTGATAACGCATCTTTGAGGGCAGTCTACTCCCCATTGTAACAGCTGAGGACAGGAATGTTCTGCTAGTGCTGTTCTTATTTGGTTTTCCTTAGAGACAAAGATGTAAACAATAACCAGTGAACAAGTATTGAATAATAATAATAGATGCAAAGTTGTCATTTCCTTCCAAGGAAAGAATAATTTGTAAAACTATTATTGCCTAATGTATAGTTTATAAAATGTATAATTGCCTATAGCAGAAATGGCTAGTATTAATCAATTTGACACCTGTAATAAAAAGTTTAGAATACGAGAATGTCTGATTGCTGGCTTAGTTTTTGAAAGTATGCTTTTTTTTTTTTTTTTGGTCATACTGAAAGCCAGTCATGGTGTATTTGGAATTATTGCTTTTCTTTGTTTTCTCTCACCTTTCCAGCATTAAGAAGTCTCATATCACTCTGTGTCTGTGAGTGGGTGTGGGCATATTTTGAAAGTACTTTCAAAATTCTACTTTGAAGTTTTCAGATGTTAAAAAAGATCATTTGTGATCTTAAATAATTGAACTATACTTAGAAATCTTTCTCATTTTAAAATGATATGAAACTCACAATGTTCTTATGATATTCCTAATAAATTATGTTTACATTAAATTTTGAAAGTTAGTGAAGACATGTTGAAGATATATATGTATTTACATTTTTTAATTAGTAGACATGGTTTTTTCTCCTCACTAATTCCTTAAGCCCCCGTATGCCTTCCTTTACTTTCCCAAGCACACAAAAAATTGGTTCATATATGTTCATCCAACCGTTGTTCCTCTGTGGAGTTGTCTAGAGAAAGTGGGCCAGGTATTACTTCATTGTATTTTGAAGATTCATCAAAATTTAGGGAGTTTAGGCATTCTACACCTAACTTAGCACTTAGAATAATTAGCTTAAAGCCTTAATTTTACTGGAAATAGTTGGTGCTCTATAATTGTAAGCTAAGGAATGACACACTCAGTGTGCATTAGATGTGACTAAATCTGTAAACATTGCGCTGAGGGATCACTTGGGCAGGTCCAATACTTACAACTTAACTTTTTCTTTTTTTCCATACTTAAGTTATCTTCATTTCTCTGTTGACTGGAAACCCAGAGAATCTCAAACACCAAGTACAGATGTATAGAAATTACAGGTTCATTCCTCACTGGAATGGCTTAATCACATCATATTTAGAAAAAAATATTTTCAACTTTTAGTATCATCACGTATCAAAGTTTCTAAACAGATAAGACCGACATGTTAACTAAACACAATTTCAAATGTATAGATGCCTATCTTTCAAAAAGAATGTGACATTTCATTCCTATATCTGCTTTTAAAAAGATCCACATACAATTCATACACAGTTTCTACTTACTTCAATCAATAACTAACTAATCTTGGATCACAAACTTTGTTAGTGGAGGAGTTGAGACTCAAACCCAAGTCTGTCTGACTGTAGAACCAGAGTCTTATTATGATACAAATTTCTTGGAAGAGTTTTCTTTTTGCTTACAGAGGGAATCAAGTTACAAAAAGTATAGTTTAATACTCAAAAGCATGTCATCAAATGCGTCTTTAAGGAGGGCATGATTTTGTTTTGCTCTAAAACATTAGGTATTAGTCATCTAATATTGCCAATTTCTGGGCCAGATATAAATGGCAGGTCTGAGGTGTGAGTTAAAGAAAAATTTTTCTTTAAGTATTTTGGGGGCAATCATGCCTTTTCCTTTGGTTGTATTTGTTTAGGCTTTTATTTTGATACTAAAATAGTGTTCCTGTAACAGCAAGGAGTCTAAGTTCACAAGTCCTCAACAAGCTACAGGTTTTTTTAGACATTTGAGATAAGTTCCCCTTACATGTATAATGTTTTCACACAAAAATTATTTGTTATCTCTGCTTTTTTGTGTTAGAAGCAGGGTCTAGCTTTGCAGTACAGGATGGACTATGAGTAGCGAGGTCTACAGACACGGGCCTCCACCACTGGCTAATTTTTAAAAAGATAGAAATTAGGGACGGGTGCTGGGAAGTGGTTCTCACTGTGTTGCCCAGGCTGGGCTTAAGTCCTGGCCCCAAGTGATCCTTCTGCCTCAGCTTCCCACAGTGTTGGGATTTCAGGCATGAAACATCATGATTGACCCTTTCTGTCTTTTGTAGGCTTCTTGAAACATGTGACATTTCTTAACTTTTTTCCTTTTATTGAACTGTGTCAGAACCAGTTGAATTGATACAGTGACCCCTCCCCCAAAGACACTGAAGTTGCTGCTTGAAGTTTATAAAAACTGACCTGTCATATTCGTATCCCAACCAGACTTGCTTCTCAGCCTGTGATGCCTTCTAACTCTAAGACGTGCCACATGGCACTTTCTGACAGAGTTAACAATCACATTTAGGATACATTTTTGTTGTCCACTGATGTTTGTTGCTGAAAAAATCCTACAGAGAAACACAGGGGCCCTGCGGGTGGGTCAGCAGTTTTTGACATTTCACAAGTGATAATGGTGTTCAGCAAATTAACTCTCCGAGACTGTACCCTTGCTATTTTAAGTAATGGCTGATGGTAAAAGGAAGCTGTAGCTGAAAATTCAGTTAAAAGTTTCTGTATCGAGTTGATTTTTGTCAGTTGAACAGTCTAAACCAAAATTTCAGTTTAAGCCAATAGTACCTACAAAAATTTGTTTTTATGACTAAGATTTTTAGTCTCCTTGAAAGTGAAACCTATTTTCAGATTCTTTCAGTTACCTTTAACATTACAACAGTTGCTGAATTTAGGTGTTTTCTTATCTAATGAGGTTTCAAAAGTCGCATTTGCGTCACAGAATGTCAGTTAAAGACCCATGAAGGGTTTCTTATTCTTTTAAGTCATGTATAGAAAACACAGCCACCTCCTTGAACATCTGGTGATTACTTGACCACATATTAGGAAAATTTTTGTTTAACCTGTTATCAAACAAAAATAAACTCATGCCAATGATCTTCTGAGGGAAAGCATATATATTTTTCTTGCTGATAAAGTGTAGTTTCAGTTCAACATATGCATAAAAGATTTAGAAACTGCTTCTCGGCCTTTTGGCTAAGATCAAGGGTAGCATAAAAGATGTGATGCTATCAGCAACGTTGAGCTTATTATTTTCAAACACCAGCTTTATTTTGTTTTACATATTTACTGTGTAAACAACAACTAAACTTAGCAATTCCACAGTTTTTCATATTCCATTACATCTATAATCCAAAAAATGTTTTCAACCTGCTGGAGGGGGAGAGGGCTATAAACATGGGACATTTTCCTACCGTTTCCAGAAGTATGAAGCCTTCACATCTCAGAATTATTCACTCCCAGTCATATCGTCAGTCTTACCTCCATCAGGAATCTTATCTCAGATAATTTCCCGTGAATAGATGTAATCCCCCAAAAAGAAACTAAACATTTGTGTCTGTGTAAGCAAAGAAAGCACACTGGGGTCACTCAAGCCTTCCTCTTTTTCCTTTTTCAGTTTAAAAGAGCAGATTCTACACTAACGATTGTTCTCAGCTTCACCTCAGAACCTTTTGGGGGGGTGTTATTAATGTACCAGTTACTTTATGGAAGTTGGTACCTTTTATTATTTTGAATATCACTTTTATTATTTTTTACTGTTTCATTTAATAAATTGTTGCTGAACCTGTAATGTGACTTTGGAAGAACTCCTAATAATGCCCATCTGTTTTAAAGTATTTTTGCTACTAACTTTCTATGCCACAAAAGGTGCTGTGATTGGAATGTCCCTTTTGCTATTAGTTGACAGGCATATAAGCGTCACCTTTCTGGACCAAGCAAAAGGGATTTTTCACTTCGGGTAGTTCAGGCTGGAGAAGCTTCTAACCTGTCCACTCCCAGCTACCGAACATGCCACTAATCACGGGTACATCTCTTCAAATCTATCTATCGCAACCCATTTAAATTGCAGTCAAGAAGTGACAGCACCGTCTACTTTGATGATTCAACCACATCCGTGCAGTCTCTCTATGTTCAAGCCAGACTTGCCGTTTTTCACAGGAAATGAGAATTTTTTGTTGAAATGCAGGTGTCAGGCTAACTTAAACTTCCCTACACAAATAAATGATAGTTTATGAGCAGCACAAATTTATGTGCTTTGCCACTTTTGTTGCTAGTTGTTAACTTTTGTGAAGAATCACTGTGTGCTTGACATAATTAACGTTCCCTTTTCTGGAACTCATAAGTCCTACAGTTAATGAACTCAACTACATTTCTTTTTTCATATAACCTATAATTTGTTTAAAAATTGCTATCGTGTCTTAGAGTATAAAATTTCTAACAATTTTTGGATTTAATTTGCAGGGAATTTTTTTACAAGTTTTCCTATATAAAATTCTGTTCCATATGAACTTGATATTCAGCATATTTGAGAAGAAAATCAGAAAATATTATTTTTTCAGAGAGCCAGTGGCCATATCTCTTGTGCATAGAATCGGATCAAAGTTTTCAATCACTTGCTTTCCTAGTTAGGTCACACATTATCCTGTAAACTATTCAGAGCCTACAAAAGTTGGGAGAGAGAGAAGAAAAAGGACTAGTGAGTTAGTGTCCATCCGTCCCTGCTCATCACACTCCCACTTTTAAGTCTGGGTTTCAGAATTGCTCTTATGATGGAGTCAAGGGGTGAGGCCCGATTTTGTGTTTAGTAGTAAAACTTACCAATTATGAAGATTAAACAGTAGCACTAGAAGACAAATAGTTCTGTCATGTACTATGTGTCATAATGATGAAGTAATGGCACTGGTTTTGTTGCTTTGCTAATACAAACTAGAAGTAAGAGCTCTCTGGTCAGCAGCACCCAGCTCCAGCCACCAGCGGAGCTTTCTCAGGCGGCTTCTTGCTGGTGCATGTCTGGCAGCCTGAGGATCAAACAACCTCAGACTTTTGTGAGGCCTGATGCATAATTTGTTTACATTCTGTCAAAAATTAACTACACTCCTGGGATATTTCCTTGTGTAAATAACCACATCCAGAGATTTCTTCTGAACACAGATCTTAAGAGTTCTGACCCCCGTCTGATTATTCTGCTCTATCCCCCCTCCCCACTTACCTCAATTTAATGGTTGCTACTGTTAAGTCCTATGAACTTACAGACTTGTGAGGGAAAGTGACATCCCACTTGTTGCTGGTGTGGCTCCAACTTGTAGCCTCATCTTTTGTGAGTTGGGGTACAGAAATTTTGAGAGGTCCCAGACGCTAGACTCTTGTTTAGATGACAAGCCATGGCGAGGTCACCTTCCCGTCCACCTTGGCTGGGCAGTGGCCATCAGGACTCGATTCACCTCTGTTAGTGCCTTCATAACAGAAGAAACCGACATAAACTAACACACAGACGCTTTTCAACCATTCCACCAAAAGCTACACACTTACTGGATATACAACAAGACTTCAAAGTTAGTGCAGATGGCAGCTTTATCGTGTGCTCTCAGTATTTTATTTTTGTAGACAGGGTCTCTTTCTGAGATGGAGGACAGATGGCAGTGCCCTCATCATAGCTCAGTGCGACCTCAAACCATCCTCCCACCTCAGCCTCCCAGGCATGTTGGACTGGGAGTGTGCACCATGACCCACAGCTGAGTTTTCCACTTGGGGGTAGAGGGCAGGACTCTCTATGGTGCCCATGTTTGTCTGGGACTCCTGACCTCAAGCTGTCTTCTTGCCTGGTGTCCCAAACTGCCAGGATGACATGTGGCAGTGGGAGTCACTGTGCCTAGGAGGTGCTTTTCATGACACACGGAGGGTCAGGTCCCCAGATTTCCAGGCAGCTGTTTTTACTTTCTCCTCCATCATCTAACTGCTTAACACCTGCTTATACCTCAGGTTTATGTGACATCGCACATGTGTTATTGACGTGTCTATTAGGTATGAGATAGGCTAAGCTTCCACCAAAAAAGGAAACCTTAAATACAGTCACCAAAATGTTGGAGGTTTATTTCTTTCTCACATAAGATCTCAGGTTCCACTCCTGTCCCATTTACAAAACCTCATCAGCATGACCAAGTCTAGCCGTGCTGGGGTTCAGAAACTTCCAAATACTCTAGTGGAGTATCCATGTGACCAATAAAACTTAGACGGTTTAAATAATGGAAGGAAGAAATAAAGAAAGGGAATTAAGGAACAATTCAGTAATCCTGCCATACACAGCCCAATGTTCTGTATATTAATTTTTTCCTCTGATGTACCCATATTAACTCCTGGACTCTTGACCATGGCAGAAAACTTTCATACAAATTTAGTACAATTGTCTTAATTCATCTTCAAATTATTATAATAATGCACATTATGTAGATATGTTTATTGGGGAGTTCAATCTTTTTAACAGCATTCACTATGGTATAATTTAAAATAATTTCAAGCACTTTCAATCCACCTTAAGTAGCCAGTATTTAAACAAAATATATGACTACAAAAAACTGAATCCATCAGAGTCAGTGGTTATGCAAAGTCTGGTGGTTGCAACTATATTTTATTTAATAAACTAATTTTTCTATATACTCTGAAAATTGAAGTGTTTGTGTCACTCTACAAAGGATATATATGCCTTCTCTATTTACAAAATCATTAAGAAACTCTGCAAATGATTTTTTAAGATAATTCCTTTTCTATAGAAATGGTTTAACTCACAAGTTCAATTACCACCAGACGATTAAAGATTAGTAGTTTTCTAATCTCATCTGTCTCTATATCTCATCATCTGTCACTTTGTAAATGACATCATCAGTTCTTGGCTATTCTGCCCTTGATGTAAATCTCCGCTTGCATTTCAATATAGGAAGAACATACTTCGATTCTTAGATGCAGAAAGAGATGTCTCGGTGGTCAAGAGCAGCTTCAAGCCTGGCGATGTCATCCACTACGTGCTGGACCGGCGCCGGACACTGAACATCTCTCACAACCTGCACAGGCTCCTGCCCGAGGTCTCACCCATGAAAAATCGCAGGTTCAAGACCTGCGCGGTTGTGGGGAACTCAGGCATCCTTCTCGACAGCGAATGTGGAAAGGAGATTGACAGTCACAATTTTGTAATAAGGTGAGAGCTTTGTCTTTGTTCCTAGAGATTGTAATTTCTTTGAAGATGTTTTTCTTAGGGGTAGAGAACTGACAGAAATGTTTTAAAGTTAAATTAAGCTTATATGAAGTACATTAACTGTTCAAACAAACATTTGTCTATGATGTTCTTTTCTTTGTGGTATTAAAATTTGCATTTCACCTGGAATACAAAATTATAATTATTTTGTTACGGAAAGAAAAGTGGTCTCCTCGTAACAATGGGATTCACCACAGTTTATTGGGGTGGGAGGAGACGAGTGACAATTTTATTACACTTAATATTCACACAGAAGATACTTTTCGTATTTGTTAGTTTTGCGTGACCTGCTTTGTTCTGTAAGGATTAGGAACAGTCCTACTGTCTTGTGCTGTAGTGGGTGTGAATTAACTCTACTTTGTTCTGGATCATTATTTACACATTCTAAGAGTATTGTTTAGCAAGTTTATATTTGTATCTTGGGCCAAATCTCTTCATTATTCTTCCAATGGTGGTGTGTTTGTATGTAAGTGCGCGTCCGTGCTTATTTTCTCACATAACCGAACATGCCTGTTTGATTTGCATTTATGGTGAAAAGACAGCTGAGGAATTATGAGTTTGGTAAACTTTTGTTAACTAGAAAAAGAAAACTCAGCAGTAGAAAAGGATTTGTGATCACATCATTGATCTTATTGGTTTTCATTCTTCATTATCTTATCTGTACATTTTGGGGATTTTCTTAGTTCCTTATAACAATTTGCTGAATGACTGAAACAGGACTATTGAAATATGAAGTAGTACAATTTAAAAGACAGACAGGAAGGCCGAGTGCAGAGGCTCAATCTCTAATCCCAGCACTCTGGGAGGCAGAGGCAGGAGAACCCCTTGAGCTCAAGAATTCAAGACCAGCCTGAGCAAGAGTAAGATCTCATCTCCACTAAAAATAGAAAACATCCAGAGGTTGTGGCAGGAGCTTGGAGCTCCAGCTTCTCAGGAGGCTTAGCCAGGAAGATTGCTTGAACCCAGGAGTTTGAGGTTGGCTGACAGCCCAGCACTCCAGTCAGGTGACAGAGTAAGACTCAGTCTCAAAAAAAAAAAAAAGAAAGAAAAGATAGGAAAGTATGCTGAGTGGACAAGTTGAGAAATACTGGAAACCTAAAATCCCTTGAAGATAGGGTGGAATGCATTCTTTTTGAAATAGGTCTTAAAAATAAAGATGATTAATTATACGGTATTCATTATAATTAGGCAAATACTTTTTATAAAACAGTAATAGCATGAAAAATAACGCTCAAACAATACCAGAGGAGCCTAATCCATAATTGGGAAGGTCCTTGGGGACACGACACCTCACGGCCGTCATTCTCAGCTGGGTGGGGGATCAGAGGTTGATTCGTCATCAATTGAGCATATAGAAATCTGAACTTCAAAACTGATGGGACCTGGAGAAAAGCCTTGTAAACATGTAGATAAACAAGAACATTGGGAACAGACGGGAGGCAAGTATATTTGATGAGGAAATGGCGATGACATGAGGAGCTTCAGCTGCCAGGTCCTGTGAAGGGCAGAAGTGAGAGATGAGGCTTCTGGAATTTCTGACATGGTCCCGGTCACAGGGCAGGTAAATGGAGAAGTAAGATTTCAAGGCGTGATCAAAATCGTTGCAACGTAAAGAAACATATTTTAAAAGTGACTAATACTGGAGGAAACGGGTCCCAGCGTGACCAACCTCTTTATTCTGGAGCCTGACTGAGCAGGACCGTCAGCGGGGCCTCTGGCTGAGGCGAGGATGCCGTGCGTGTGGGCAGCGACAGGCCTGGTGACCGCAGCGTCCTGACTCTGTGTCAGCTCATTGACCCTGCGGCCTGCCCTCTCTCTGGCTTTGCTACCCTAATTCCTGCTGAAGTTCTGACCCCTAGCCCTTTGCGTTCCTCCAGTCCCCACACTGCTGAGTCCTGGTCCTGTGCTGTCATTTCTCCCGTTAGGGCCCTACCCCCGTCTGTCTCAGGAGCGGTGTTCATCTTTCTTTGGTTTTACAGCCTCTGGTTTTCACTTCTCCCGCACTCCCCCTCTAACTGTGTCTGTCACTTTCTCTCTCTCATCTGTGATTCACATTGGCCAGCCTGTTGGTTTTCAGATTCCTGACCCCCAGACCACCTGTGAATGAGATTTTGATTTGACAAAGTCACACGGAGCATGTCCCTTATTCTAAAATTAAAGACCATTTTCCCCTTCACTGGCTAAGTAGCCTCAGTAAGGTCCCTACCTGCAGCATCACTCATGGTTCTGTGACAGATTTTGGGCACTCAGCTGGCAGCTGAGCTACTCCCGGCGTTCCTCCTGCAGAGGATCGAGGCTCCCGGGACTTGACTAATGCCTGCAGCTTCTTCCTTCTTGTTGTGGCTTAGCCACCCACATTCATGCCTATGCTGTAGACTTAAAGCCCTAACCTGCCTCACTCCAACCTTGGAATGTTCTTTAAATATTCCTATGGCAACCCAACTCCAGTGATCTCCAGTAAACTGGCTCATCTGTTTTTACTCCGTACTCTGTGGGGCCTAGGTCCTTAGTTTACCATTCTGATACCTGTCAGGCAGATGGGAGGTGTGTTGGGGGTTTTGACCAGCTCAGGTGTAAGGTGTGAGCAGTGCAGGGGGAGGGACAGCTTTGCCACTTCCACAGTGGAGGCCTCCTCAAGTCCACAGCTATTGGGACCTCGCAGTGCGTGTTTACGGGAGCTTCATGAGTGCACTATCTACACAGCCATACTTTACAATGTAGAGGTTTTTGTTTGTTTGTTTGTTTGGGTTTTTTTTTTGTTTGTTTGTTTGTTTTTTGGCCTGGATAACTAACAACATTAAGTAGTGTGGAAAAAAACCCTTGAAAACTTTGAGAAAATATTTGAAATTGTTGACCAGTTAGTATCTTTTCTTTCTGGTAGTTTTCAGGTAACTGCTGTTTTCTGAAAAAGAACGGTCTCAGAGGAACTAAAATGGGAATTATTGTATAAGAATGTGTGCCACAGAAAACGCTGATAATCTCAGCTCAATGCATATTTATTTCTATAGCTTTTAGTACAAAAGTACTTCTACAATTCAATCAGAGCTTTAAAAAGTTACAACTAGTTTTTCTGGACTTCAGACTGCATGTATATGGCTATGAATCTATGTGTATATTCATAAGTGTATATCAATATATGTGTATATATGTGGTTATGAATATCATTGTGTATTTTTCATATGCACCATAAATACAAATCCTACTACCTTCTAGAGCCAACTATTGTTGGTGACATTCCTACTTGAGTGCTGCCTGTGTACGTAAACCAACAGTTAGACTGGAGTAAGAAGCTGTGGCTAAAAAGGCATACGTTTAGGGAGCCGCCACTGAGTTCACGATACTGTATTCAGGGAACCCAGATAACTCAGATAACGATGTTTAATATTATTGGATGCACATATACACCCACAGGCACACACAAATATCTCACTGCATTTTTCATGATTAATATGCATAAGAAAAATTACAAGTTACCATGAAAGTAGCTCGCCTCCTTTCTCTCCTTAGCCTCATACCATTATTCATCAGTAATTGCTGTAGATGTTGCCTTCAAGACAGTTCCCGAACCTCATGATTTCTCCTGACCTCCGCTGCCGCCACCCTGGTCTAAGCCAGTATCATGTCTTGCTGAGAACAAGAGACTACACTGGTTTCTTAACTGGTGACCCAGCCCCACTCTCGCTCCCTCCTTCCAAAGCTAGAGTTTTTCATCATCTCCCAGCAACTTCCTCCCACACTGTGCACAAACACCATCATCTTGCCAGTGACCTCAACTCAGATGATCTGGAACTTTGAGGACAATGTCCTTGCTCACCTTTTCTGTGAAACCCTCTTTCTCACACGCCTTTGAGTGGGTTTGCCCCTCCTTTGGGGGAAGCATTGGGATCTATCCTATATCTCACATCCTCTGCAAAGTCTCCCCTGACTGTCCAAACACCCGCTGCCACCACCGTCACCAGCTGTCACCATCTTCTCACCCTTTGTTTTTGCAACACAAGTTTATTTCTTTATTGTCTGTCTTCCCAACTAGAACACAAGAGGGAAACAGTGTGTGCATTCTTCCATTTGTGGTCTCAGTTGCTAGGAAATGTCTGACTTTTATATATTCTATAAATATGAGCTACGGGCAGGCTGGTAGGCAGGCAGCAAGTAAGAAAGAAGGAAAGACGTGAGGCAAGACCGTTCAGTCCTCCTGCACGCCTCCCCTCATCTAACACTGCATCTTAGCCTTCCTACAACGTCCCTGCTTATCTGAGACGAGAGGGCCATCACAGCCTCTCCGTTAGAACCACGGCCCATCCCCTCATCACTGTCTCGAAGGAGGCAGACCTTTCTGTAGTATGTGAGGAAACCGTCTTACTCTGTTTTACTGAGTAATGGATTATAGATTTGTGACCATGTCTGCACTATAGCCACCATCTCACCAAGTAAAACATACGGCTCTCTGCTTCACCCATCTCTTTGTTCCTATTAGTTTTGTTTTTTTTTTTTAACTTATAGTATTTTAGTGTGTAACTCAGAATTTGTAGAATGTGCCTTATGGAACAATTTGTAAATTTTATCTTTACATAAACTCAGGGCTTTCCTACTTAAAAAGGTATTGAAGGGCAGAGGCTACCAGGCATGCGAACACCTGGAATTGTTTTGTAACTAGTTTTTGTTCTAACCGATCATCATCTCTACTATATTATTCCTTTAAAGACATTGCATTTTTAAAGATGATAATAAAATTGAGGAGAAATCTATTGGGTTCCATAAATTAAAAATTTTATGAGCTTAACTTTGAAGAAGAGTTTATAAAGCTTTCTCTACAAACTTGCGATATAAAAGTTAGATCTTTTCAGCTAAAGACTGTCATAACTACGGCTTGAGCAACTCAGCCCTAGAGTTGCTCAGGACTAGAACTCTCGTTCTATTTTACATGTTTCGATTCTTTTAAATAT